ATATATTTGCCGAGACTACGCGCGTGAAATCAGAGGCTTGGGGCAAGGCTCAAGCCTTGATCCAGAGTATTCTTGACCACTTTGCGCAACTTCGCGAGATGCCGCGAATCATTCAAGTGGCTTGCCAAGTGCTTACCAAAGTTGCTGCCGCGCTCGATGTGAATGTGAAACTGGCTCAAAGCCCATTCTTTTGCCAAGAGACTGTGTCCTTATGGGAAACGCGGCTGCGCGATGCCACATCGCACAACCAGGCACTCCCGTTGCTTGAAGATACTCTCCATTCTGCCGATCAGAGCCTCTCTGAGTCCATTCCTCGCTTTCTTGGGATCAACCACGTTTTGATGTTCGTGACCAAGAATGTCGGATTAAATCAAAACGTGGAACTTCAACCCGTGCTGGAAAACATCGTTTCATTCACTGATCGTTGCATCGGCTTTGGAGACACTTCAAGTGCCCATGAATTGGTGGTTGCCTCTGGTCTTCGTCTACGCTTTGTTCTGATGCGCCGTACTCTGCGCCGTGCGCTGGCCACAGACGAGTCGCCGCCGTCGTTTGTCGCCATCCGCGATCTCGAACAAATCACGAAGCGATTCACTAGCCGCGAACCTGAGTTGGTGGTGGAAAGTTTTCGAACTGCATTAGGTGCTGTCGAGGCAGCTCAAATCTACAACAAGGCTGATGCAAACGCGCAAAAGCAACTGACTGCAATCGTGCAAGGCCCTCTTCTCCAGGCTCTCGAGCTCACTGCACCCAAGACTTTGCCGCGCTGGGACGGCCAAATTTTTGGTATGCCCGCCGCATTTCTTCCGGTCGCCCTTTGGCGGCTGATCACCACGCGCTGGCTTCCTGTACTCGACGCGACGACTCCGGACCAGCTCAGGTCTCTTATTCTATACCTACAGGGCACGCTGTGTGAAGAAGGCTCCAGGCTTCAAACCATGCAAGCTGAACTCAGTCGGATGGCTCTACGCAATGCACAATTCCTCGAACAAAGGCATTATCGTATTGCTCTTCTGGATTGCGCCGCGAACTCTACTGCATGGATCAATCTCAAGAACAGTCCCAGCAGTTCGATCAACACCAACGACGTCAAACAAACATTGGCCTTGACTGGGCTTCTTGACACACTCCCTATCACCTATTTTTCGCGCGATAGCATCGACTTGCTTTTCCCGCGGCTGGCTTGGCTTAATGCGGCACTGACTGTCCAAAACTTCCCAGTACCTTGGATCCATCTAAGCGGATTCTTGTATCGACTAGTGGACATGCTCAATACAATACCCCAAATGATTCCGATCGAAGACTATATTCAAGCGCTCGCGAGACTTAATGTAGGAGTTCCGCTGTTTGTGGACAGAAGCATGGAGCTCCTTCGAATGATGCTCCGATTCCAGAAATACGATGTGCACCAGCTACCGAAGCTTTTGGCCTCCTTTAGCTCGTCACAGGAAATGGCGCAGCAAACCTTCACCACAATCCTGGAATGGCTTGCCGACTCTGACACAATCTTGACATTCGAACATTGTTCTCCGCTGCTACAAGACGTGTCTCCACCCGAAGTCGTTGGCAATTGGAGTAAAGCGGAAGTACATTATGCAGAACTTCGTCTGCGTGCATATGCCGCGCAGCTTCGACTTTGTCAGACTGTGCGTGCGCCCGCACCAAGCGACGTTGCCAATGCAAGCACACAAATCACGGAAGCCGTCGGATCACTCTGTACTGCCGTGCAGTCCGGTGTACTGACGTCCACGGATGCTGAACCGCTTGCCCGAGCGCTATTTTCCACACTAATCACCCTGCGTCCAGTGGTGCCATCTACCCGGCCCTACGTGACCTTGTCGGTGGTGTTCGCCGCTTTGTATGTCACGTTACAAGATACAGCCACTTGGCTCTTGCCGCATTTTGTCTCGGTGGTTTCGCAAATGCCAACCGACACATACGCCGAGACGCTCGAGGCGCTCGAAGCGGCGTTTGCTGATGACGAAATGCATGGCGAGCTAACGGCTTGCAACGTCCAAGATCGTATGGCACTTCTAAAGGCACTTGCCGTCATGTTGCAGCACGGTCCAAGCGGTACAAGTCGGATCGCAAGTGAACGTTTGTCGTCGTTGCTCGTGCGTCTTCCTTTGATTTTACACAATTCTCCGCTTCTCGCCGCTCCCGCGGTCGAACTAATCGAGCGGGTGTGCAACTACCGAGCACTGATACTGCGACCGCTCGACGTACCGCGCATCTTTGCGATGGTGACCGTGCTGATAGGACCTAGCGGACACGAGGATCGTGTAAATTTCTCGTGTCCTTCTGGTCCAATTTTCAGTGGCATCGTCTCTGCTCTTCGTGCCATGGTGCGTTTGCGCAAAGACCTTTTGAATCCATTTTTGCCGCAGTTCACCGAGCTGCTTTGCCTACTTATACCCTTGCTTCAATCCCTACAAAGGCACAATGTAGGTCGATCGCAGCTGCGACGACTCGCGGCAGCAATGCCGGCTTGGCTCGATGTTGCAACATGTCCTCTTGGCGTGACAGAAGCACGCGCACTCACTCGTCTTTACACGGAGATCCCGGCCAAGTCAACGTCGATCGCGACGATTGTAGCGCAAAAGCGGCGTCGTCTCTCGTCCGATGAACACACCAGCACGACCGAGTCACTGGCTCGGTCCATGTCCAAGCACGCCGTCTACATACTTGTGGCCTATGTACGATGCGTGACACAGGGTATCACAACCTTGGCCACGCCTGTGCGTCAAGAACTACAAGCGGGGCTCTTTGCCTTGTGCGACCTGGTGAACAAATACGAGCGAGATGCAGTGCTCAAAGGCATGCTAGACGCTAGTGGGCAGGTGGTGTTTAAAACACTTTGGAGCGATTGGGAACGACAGCGGTACAAGGGCGCTTAATTTGATCGTCTAAATTTTTGGGTATGCAATCATGCGAAATACATCTATTTAGAATGCGACAATTAAAGAGCCGTGCGTGACGATGTTTCGACACGAAGAGTCAGCATCAAAAGACCAGAGAGGATAAACAGAGCCGCAGCCACATAGATAGGAACCGCCTGTTCAGTCTTGCTGCTTTTGTTCTTAGAGACACCATAAATTTTAATAATGGGTGCAAAAATACCGAAGAGTCGGTTCAAACTTGAAGCGATACCATCGGCTGTGCCACGCATGGGCGCCGGGAACGACTCAGGAGTGTAGCAGTAAAGCACACCATACATGATATTTTGAGTGAATGCGGTCACACAGCTGAATGCGAGTGTACCGTCACTTGTCGAAACAGCCGTGAATCCAAACAGGAAAATACCACTAAGCACCGTACCGATAGCCATCGCACCACGACGCCCACTTCGAGGCAAGTTGACCATCCATGTTGCAAGCAAACTGCCTGGCACACCACAGACCGAAACAATCACGTAGTTCCGATAGGTCGTGGTGAACGACTCATCACCTCCGGTGCCCAAATACAAGATAATGAATGAGTTGAACAAGGGGTAAGCAAGACCAATGAGCGCCCAAAGCGTCCAAATCACTGCGGTGGTATATCCGAGAGCAAATGTCGAGAAAAGCGGCCTGATATGGGACACGGTCTTTCGAGGGTTGATTGATCGTGCATTGTAAGCAAGCATGCGAACATTGTGTACCGCTTGGCCGACCACACCCTTGGGGTGCTCATGAATAAGTTCTTCAGTTGATGGATCTTCATCCATTGCGCCATCCTGACCAGCAGCAGAACGCAAAATCCCGACCGTGAGCATATCTTCCGGAAGCGGCTTTCCACACATTGCGGCAAATTTCTTCATGGCTTCTACCGCCTCTTCATCACGCCCCTTAGAGAGTAAGAACTTCGGGCTTTCAGGGATCTTAAATACGACGAAACGTAAGAAGAAGCAAGCGAGCGTAAAGGCGCCGATAGTAAAGTTGAAATAGCGCCAACCGACATTGTTGGGGACCCAGCCGTTGCTATCCGGTGGCAGAATAGTACGCTTTGTGCAATGCCAACGCGAAATAAAGCCCCAGCCAATCAACGAAGCCATCAGCTGGCCCAACGACCAGAATACCGACAAGAGAGTTAGGAGGTACTGACTGTTACCAGGCAGAAACTCGAGAAAGAGCATCCCATCCACAGGTAGACTTCCTCCGAGACCAAAGCCCAATGCGGCAAGAAGCCCACCCAGAGCAGTGAACGTTTTCGGCGAGCCAGCTGCCAGGCCAAATACACCAGCAATTAGAAGTGTAGCATTGAATGAGACACGGCGACCAACAATATCGGCAACCACTCCCCAAAATGCAGCACCGCAGATTAAACCCGCATAAAGAGCAATCGTCATAAACTCGGGATGCTCTTGGTGAAATTCAATTGCGACCTGAGAGAGAATAATAGCGACACCCTGGAGCCATGCGTTGTCGATAAGCCAGCCGACACCCGATACACCTAGCAGACCCCACTGCCACCAGGTCATTCCGATGTGCTCGTTCATAATTTTATTGAAAATATACACCTTCCTTCCATAGACTTCATCAATAGCAGCAGCCTCAACGTGGTTCGAGCGTAACACGATTTCCTCATCGTGCTCAGCGATGTCCTGCTTGAACTCGTTGGCTTTCTTGACCTCGGCTTCAGCCAAGTGCTGCTCGACTTCCACCGGAACGGTCTGATGAGTCTCAGTCATGACGACTAGAAGTTTGAGTTGAAGAGGAAAATTAAAGAGGGCGAAATATTGCTCTCCTTAGTTCCTCAAGGAGGGTGCGGGAAATTACGTTGGAAGGCGAGGTACACGAAAAATTCCCCGATTTATACGAAGAATTATCGCTTGGTAATAAGGGATGGGAGGATTTTGAGGTGTCCAGTAAGTCTCGGCAATTTTTCGGGACTCGTGTCTATTGGTAAATCCCACGCTAGGATTCCCTCAAACAAAGCTGACTAAAACTGCTCCGCATATGCATAGACTCAGCCTGCCAAATCTATAAAAATATCAAGAATAAAAAAAAAAAGAATTTTTTTGACAAGAGTGGGATTCGAACCCACGCCTCAGGGAGACTGCGATTTAGATGTCAAGGTATCCCTGAACAAGGAGCCTGAACACAGCGCCTTAGACCACTCGGCCATCTTGCCTTGAATTACCGAAAACATCTGAAACTAGTGGACTTGAACATCAAGGCCTAAGCTGGAACAAAAAGCTGTGACAAGAGTGGGATTCGAACCCACGCCTCAGGGAGACTGCGATTTAAATGTCAAGGTATCCCTGAACAAGGAGCCTGAACACAGCGCCTTAGACCACTCGGCCATCTTGCCTTCGCCTGCCTGGAGATGGACATCAGTGCTCCTATGAAACGTACACACATTTCCCCCCCAACGCTTGGGCTCTTTGGTTCTTCAAGTCACATTCTCAACGCCAAAATGAAGAAGTAAATCGTTGTTTAATTAAACACCCTTTTGGCCTTGGAAGTCTTCTGAACCAGTGGGAAGGTGGAAGGCTACCAAGGGCTGTTCCGAGTTGCGTAAAATGCGCCGTCGTCGGAATGCGTATGGTTCATCGAAGAGGATGGCATCAGCGAACGGGTCCGTTGGCTGATAAAAATCTAGCCGAGGCTCTGCTGGTGTCGATATTGGAATCATATAGACCGAGGTGGATGCATTTTCAATTTCTTCAGAGTTAGTTAAGTCCAAGGGTATCGGTGCATTCGTGGTCTCTGTGAAAATATCGGGTTCAACAGCTGTACAAGAACGATTTAAGGTGCTGCGAGAAACGCGCTCAACATGAGATGTAGTCTGATTGGTTTTTATAGCATGAGCCCCTGCATCATGCGAGCGAGGGTATGGTTCAACAGCTGCTTTTGAAGGAGTCACAGGCAATGCCAGATTTTCTTTGCTGGGTTCACTTAGACGTTTCGTGCGAGTACGGGTGCACTCTGGGCTTCTTTCCGATCGCCACCTTCCGCGCTGTTCGTGTAAAGCCCGTTCGTGGTCTAGCGAGGCCATCGCGATATTATTTCGCGAGTCACGCTGACGATTGTTTCGCACTGGCGTATCATCAGGAGAGCATAGCATCGGTTCTTCACAGCATGGTTCTGTTCCAGAGCAATAAGCCGTACGTTTGGCACAATTTGCGCTGGGACTAGGGAACTTGATGGCAAAAGGGACGGGGATGTGACGAGACCCTTGCTTTCCCGTAAGATCCTTTGTAGTTTGTCCCAGATCTGTAATACGTGGACGTGGAAGCATAGCGGAATACTGTTTGCGTGACCCATAAACATGACGAGGGGGTATATTGGTCAAGAGGTTCTCTAGCATATGCTCCAGTTCCTGTTCATATTGATGATTAGTCTGCTGAGCGGTTTCCCGTCTAGAGCGCTTAGGGGAGCCTCGTATTCTCTTTCGAAGCGCACCTGAACGGGGACGCCATGGCATCCTAGTGCTCGAGAATCGTGTTTGCGAGAGGAGTGCGCAGCGCTCAGCTTTGAACCAACGTGTTGTTTATTAGGCTATCTACAGGACAACATTGTGGAGGTCTACGCTGCTTCCGGGTGGGGAAGTCGAGTGGTGCGAGTATGGGGGAAAGTGTGGATACCGATGCGCTTTGCAAGCGCTTCTGTCCCCCGCTAGATCCAAGTTTAGTACTAGCTATATCCAGCGAGCATGGGCGCTCATCAGATGAGTTTATTCAGCTCTTGACAGAATTGGCCGAGGCTACTAGTGTTGAAGACGCACTAGAAAACGTTAGTACGGTTCAAGAAGGACCGTCGCTAGAGGATACGCAAGTCCAAGAAAGTGAAAGAGAACAACTCGGAAATGAACCGTTACTTACCTTTCTATCGCAGTCGTTTCCCGAACGATCACCTGACGCTCTGCAACAAGCGCTCAATGACGCTAAGGGCGACGTTGACATTGCCATGGATGCACTATTCGCTCAAGACATGCTAACGTTGGACACGAAGGAGACTAAGCAGCCATCTAGAAAAGGCCTAGACTATGAAGCTCTGGCGTCAGGCACGCGACAGAAGAAGCCGGGTCGAGGTAAAAACAAGCAAGCAGGAAACCGCAAGGCGCAAACGGTCAGTCTCACCGACCAGCGTAGTGCCCATCATATCTACGCCGACCGACGCAAGCTTGCGACTAATATGAGGGAAGATCGAGCACCCTCGCCACCTCTTCCGGATGAAGAGGGTTTGGACGATGCGGAGCTCGCGCGGCGCTTACAGAATGCAGAGAAAGACGCTGCCTCTGCGAACGAGCGTCTTGTAGGTGACCAGCAGTGGCTTCTTGCATCATCAACACTTTCGCAGCTTGCTTCGCTTTTGGATGTACCGCTGCTAAAGATTCAGAGCATTTTTAACCAGTCTTCATTCAACCTGCACGTCACGATGGCACGCGCCACGGCGTATGCTGCCGCCCAGCCTGCAGCCGTATATGCACAGAGTGCATCAACATTCTCGACGGTGTGCGAAACCCTTTCGGGCATCACGGGCCGGGATCCACGTTTGCTTTCGCAGGTGCTTGCTGCAACGAAAGGAGAGGAATCTGCTGCGCTCGACCTCCTCCAACTGCAGGACGTTGTGGCTACGGCGGCGGATGGCATCTACAACCGGCCTGATCTGCTGGATCCGACGGCGAAGCTGAGCAGTGACGACCCCTCAGTGGCGCTTTATACCCCCACGATCACGCAGAAGCGCACGGTCACGGCCGGGCCTGCGCCTCGGTGGCTTGACGCTGAGGACCGCTCGTATGCCAGCCGGTCCGCACAAGCGGCGCCTCCGCCGGCGGGTGCGTCGCTTGCGACTGAGGCGTTGCGCCAAGGGCACAGTGCGGTGGTGCTGCCAGCCTCAGCTCAGCGTGTGGAACTAAGTGCGGCGGTGGAGCCCGACCTCGGTGGAAACTATTCGACGGAAGAGTGCCACCGACGTGCCGAAGAGCTACGCGAGAAGCGCAATGCGGCTCTGCGACAGGCCGCTGCATCTGCGCGTCGCTACCGCGGCGCGTCCGCGAGTCTGGGTGGCGCTGCGAGTGTCTATGCAGAGGAAGCGCGCAAGTACGATGCAGCGGCACGGCGCTGGCAAATGCGCGCGGCGTCTGCGCTGGTGGAGCAGCGCCAGACGGACTACACGGGCAGCTACGATTCGGATCTGGAACGTATCGACCTGCACGGGCTGACGGTACACGAGGCTCTAACGGTGGTGCAGCGGAAACTGCAGCGAAGCAGTGCGGCGCCGGGGCGTGCGTTCCTGGAGATCGTGACGGGCCGAGGCGTGCACAGTCGTCACAATGTATCGGTCATCCGCCCTGCGATTGTGCGCTATCTGAATCAGCGGGGCTACACGGTGGACAGCACATCGAACCCTGGGGTCCTGTACGTGAAGCAGGCGCGTTGATGACCAGCCGAAGTTCGCCTGCGGCGACAAACCCGTGTTGGCCCGGCGTGCCTGGTTTTTTCGTTTGCCATGAGGGCATGCGCACGTCTGCGCCTTGCGTTCCAGTGGAGGTTCATTGGCTGTGTGGGCTCATGATAGGCTATAGGGACCCTACTGATCGGGCGGCGCGTAGTGCTCATGTAATGAATCGGGCAGCTAGACTGGCTTGTCACACCGCACTGGTTTGACGGGTGTTGATTCTGTGCTGCCGGGGTCGAGTCGGCGAGTGAAGAAGACGGTTGTTTGGCTCATTGTATGCAATAGGTCCCCTTGCTGTCTGTCTGAAGAGGTGTGCAAAAGCGTCGCAGCGCTAGCGCACGATGGCAAATCATGAAATCACCGACCTCGAGCTTCAGCGCGAAGTCGAGGCGCTGCGGACTCGCCGACGCCAGTCGGTCAACCGCGTGGTCCTCGATCCTGATCTCCCGGATCTGCAAGGGTCGGGGCTGTATCTAGGATCGCGGCCGTCGATTGACAGCCAGGCGTCGGCATCGAGTGTGGCAAGCACCTCGTACGCCTCGCCCAGGACGCCTCCGGACGTCGACTTGGGCGCCTTTTCCTTTGACGAGAACCAGATAAATGCTAATCCTCCCCTCTTTGGGTCGTCACAGCGCGCGCGGCACCTTGCACGGCGTCAGGCGCGCGCTGCACAGCCGGGCGACGCCCACGAAAAGGGGCCACTGCCTCAACCTCCTACGGCACAGGACCCGCCTACGTCTCCGTCGGAGCTCCTGTGGGTCCCGGCGGGCGCCCACCCAGAGATCTCTCCGGCCGACTTTCGGAAGTTTATGAAAGAGCAGGCGGAGCGCAATGTGAACCACAGCGAGACCGAGACGAGTCTCTCGAAGCGCGGCTCGCTCTCGCCTCCCTTGGACGGCCAGGGCGGCGAGCACGGCGAGGCTACGGTTGCGGCGAACCAGCTGATGCGCCGGAACTCGTCGGTGGCGCGCCGCTCCAGCTCGCTGCGGCAGCAGATCCGCCCCGAGGACCGTGAGGCGCTCGGGGGCGACTTGCCCGCCCGCCCGGCGTCTGGGTACCGCCGAAGCAGTCTGCTTGCGCCGCACAGCGATGTGAGTGCACCTCCCGAGCGTCCGCCGCGGCGTGAGGTGCCGCACGCTGCGGCGCCCTCGCAGCTCCAGACGAGCGATCTCGACGACGACCGCAGCTCGTCTGGCACGCATGCGACGTACAGCACCGAGAGCGAGCACGACCAGCGGCCGCTGCCCTCACCGGGCGCATCACAACTCCAGCGCAAATCGCGGAATATGAAGCTCGTCCGGCCACAGGGCCCTGCCGGCCCGTCACGGAGCGCGCGGCGAGCGCCGCGGCTGCCTGCGCCCTCGCCTGAGCGGACGGCGTCTACGCTCGAGGCGCTCTCGCTCGATGCAAGCTCTGCCCCCAGTACGTCTGCGCCGCAGCCCACGCCGCCAGCGCCGCAGCCGGTGCTGTACGACGAGCCCGAGTCGCTGCCGGCCGTGGCGATGCAGAATGCACGGACGATGCCGCATCGGTCGTCGAGTGCCCGGATGCACGGCGAGTTGCCGCGCCGCGGCAACACGTTGCCGCCACGCTTGGATGAGTCGCGCGAGGCGGGCGCACAGCCGGCGCCGGCGCCGGCGCCGACGACCGACCTGCGCGCCAAGGCAATGGCCAAAGGCATTCTCCCGGAGCTCCCGGCCGATTCTGCGCCGGCCGCACAGCCGTGGC